TAGAGTCAAATTCCCCAGCCCTCATTCCCAGAGCAGTGCTTGGCTGTGTGATAATCCCAGCAATGGTCAACAGGAATAGGTGGGATGTGGTGCCATGAATGAGCACTGCTGACAGAACCTGCCCTTGGCATTATCTGCACCCTGATCCCGCTGGGAATAGCTGTGTGTGCTGTCCCAGGGGCAATAAACTCTGCCAATGGATAACATTTCCCAGGCACTGTATCCACTGACAGGACTATGATGTGTGTTGATGGAAAGCCCTCGGGTTCTGACACCAGTGCAGTAGGACTGCGTTTATCATTTTTCATCTCCACTGTCAAACCAGGCTTAATGATTTTAATCATAGCTCAGCTTTACACTGAGTGGCTTCTGTTTGGAAAACTCTCCATGAAATGTTGTGTTCAATAATCACTTCAGACCCATTGGCTACGTTGTGGCTCTGGAGTCCTGCCTGTGCCAGGCATCGGAGCTTTCTGTTCCTGATCCCAACGTTAGGTGTGGAATCTTGTCCCTCTTACACTCACAGCATATCAAGGAGAGCTTTACAAAACCACAGAGAAAAGATTTAAACCCAACAGAAAACATATTTAAATTCTCAGCCTTTCACCATTGCGCTGTTTCCCCCCTTACAGTAATTTCTGGGTTTGGACAGGATTTTATACAACTCAGTTGCATAACAACCTTCCAGTGAACCGTTAAATTGCTTACACATACAACAGATTTCTGTGACAGATGATAAAAATAAAAATTGAAAAAGGCCTTGTTGAGAAAATAAAAGGAACTTATTGCCACATTTAAACCCCCCAAATATCCTAATTAAGGCTGATCAAGACACAGAGGGATAATGGTATATGAATTTTGTAGCTTTTGAAAATTATTCGTAGGATATTTTAAACATACTTCCAGGAATGTATTGGAATATCTGCTCTCTCTTTTTCTACTAAATATAACATTAATTCCAAATCAGCAAAGGTTACAAATGTTATTTACTGAAGAGTAACAAAGTACTCCAAGCATGATAAGTGTATTCAAATGAAAAATACTTTAAGATAAGAGAGATTCCTCAGCTTCATGACAACAAGAGAACAAATGCTTCATTCTGCAGTATTTCTAAATCTAATCTTAAAGTTTCTGGTTTAAAGTGTAGTTGTTTGCAATTTTGTGAGTGTGCCTCTTGTATAGGTATTCATTAAATCTGTTAGAAAAAAAATCTCAAGATTGAGTCCAAGCACAATTTATGACTATTTAAGAAACACTGAATGCTATAGTCCTAATTTCGCCTAATTTAAAACCTGTTAGGAAAGATTCCTCAAATACCAATTTTTCCTCAGTGTGTTTCGAAGTCTTCTGATTCTATTTGAAGAGTTCTAAAATTAGCACTCAGCATTCTGATACACAGACAAGTTTTCTCATGATAATTTTTTTTTTCCTAAAAAATGGGAATCAGAAGCAAAACACCTTGGATTTTCAAGAGGTAAAAGACAATTTGCACCCACCAACCCCTTCCTCAGTGAGGAAACAAGCTTTTCAGTATCCACCTGTGTTTTGGGTGCCAAGTTCATCCTATGTCAACTGCTCAAGTCATTACCTGGTAACTTTGACAATTTAATCTCTTTTTACTGGAAGACTTTTAAACAATAAAACCCTGGAAGATGGAAAGTTGCCCAGCTTCACTGAAAGGAGTCATCATTTATTACCAGCAAAGTCTTATATTTTAGCTATAATCCAAAGTTCTGTGATCTCATAGATAAATTAATATCTCCTAAACCAGAAATACACTGGCATCTGAAATGTAAACTGTTATATCCAAAACTATTGCCACATGCACAGAATTCAACGTGAGTCATTCAGGATGCTTTAGTTCACATACCTGAAACACGTTTGCTCAGAAATGCTTAACAAAAGCTTTGTTCTCCAGACAAACACACTCTGAGTGGAGTTCAGATTCTTAAACAGATATTTTAAAAAAAGATTGTATTCACTGCAGAGATTATTTATTCCTGCCGTGTAAGTAGCCAGAGGTGCTTCATATATGGAAGTATAAAAATGAGAGTTCTGAGTCTCAGGCTAAGAGGGAAGATTAAAGTCTGGGTCCTGTTAGGGAGGAGAAGTTCTATTTTATTTATGGCATTGAAAAACCTGAATCTGAAGTTAAGCCATTCTAAGCTTTTGGGGAATTTTGCCCATCAGCAAGAGTACAAGACATCAACTATCTCAGTATGTTTATTCATTTCATAGCTCTGTCCTATATCATAAACTTGCAGTGGTTGCTGCAGCCTCAGAAACCCTCCAGCATTTTCTGGGTGGCTGTGACACAACTCCTCCATTGGTTAACAACCAGTGATTCATACGAACTTCGGCTCCAGAAAAGATCTGTTTATTTTTCTCTTACATTTAAGAAGCTTTTGCCAGATTTTCAAACTTGAGTGCCTAAATTCCAAGTGTTCAGAAGCTTAGCAAACATGGTTTTAGAACCCAAAGCCTGTTTGCACATAAGGCATCTCCCCGACAGATGAATCCTATTAACCTTGTTAAGATTAAGCACTTAAATTCAAACACATGTTTGGGAACTCTGCTGGGTCAGAGTCTTTAATTTTTAATAAAGAGTTCGCCTAATACTTTTTATTTACACTTGAAACTTGGGCCTTTGTTTGCCATAGTGTTTTCCAGAACTTCAGTAAGTAGAAGGGATGAATTCTGGAAGGTCAGATTGTCACTGTCTTTTATTTTTTTAAAATTAACTAAGGACTTCAACACAACCAAGGAAGCGCTGTTAGATAAGAGGATGTTTGTCCTGTTCTCTGTTTGACTTTATCTTCCACTTTTCCCTACTTTATATTATTTATCTGTCCAATTTTTAGGATTCCTCCATTCAGGAATAATTCAGGGAAAGGTTAGTGTTGCCAACAACAAGGTGAAGAGACAAGATGATTGAACATCCTCCTTTGTCTTATGATACAACACAAAGATCATTAGACTTTGCAGGACATGCCTGAGAGATTCTAATGGAAGAACTTAATGAATAACAATTAGATTGATGGCCAGATGCTGATTGATGGGTCAGGATAAGGCTCACTAGCAAATTTCTACTAAAAAAGTGGTTTTTTTCAGCTTATCATTGTGTTTAATTCTGTGGGGTATTCATCTCTCGTGATAATATAGATGGAATTACATAAAAACAACCAGGAAACTCAGACTTATCAAAAACTTCCCAACTTTCTGGGCTGGATTTCCCTCTAGAGAGAATCTGATTCTTCTGAAATGCTAAAGTCAAACTCAGGAAATATAAGAAAGTCCTTACCTAGAACATACACAAATGCACACTCTCACAAACAAACATATATATATAGTATATGTGTATACAAAATTGACCCAGGTTATGCCACTGATGTTAATTATAAGACTCCCAATTATAATAGTCACTAAACCAGTACTTCATTAAATTTTTTCCTTAAAATACCCCTCAGGGAATAAACAATGGGCTGTCCACTGAAGTCCTGTTTATGACTGAAAGTCCATGCCTCTGTTTTACATATGTTCATTGAATTAAAACACTTTTCTGTTATCAATTTTCTATTATCCATATGATCAGTGCATTTTTCCAGAAGCAGCAGTTTACCTGAGTTGCAATGGATCCTTTAGTCACCCACTAAACTATTCTGGAAAATACACGTGGGTGGTTGTAGATGATGCATAAGAAGACTCAATAAGAGAAAAATCTGTTAATATGTATTTCCTGGGGCAAAAAAAGCGATTGTGATTTACTTTAAATTTGTAAGATTTTATTGAAAATATACTTAGAATTTCTCCCTGGATTTTGTCAGTTCACCAGCAGGAGCTGTGCCCAGTGCTCCGAAGTGGAATTGTTTGCCAGAACACTGTTTCAGGAATTACATGACTTAATATCTACAGAAGCAGACAGTGCTCAGTTTCTCTTAAAAATATTTTCCTTTAGAACTGAAAAACGATAACTTTGGAACATGGGTTTGGTATCCAGCATTTCAGTCTACTACAGCTGGAATACAATAGTGCTCATTAGCAGGGACAAGGTATTTCTGAGCTGAAGCATCCGTGGAATGAAATTTCAACACAGAGCTGTGAATAGTGATTAATTTGGAAGTGCCCAAGAATTCCTGTACCTGTGGTTCCTGGCCAGTTCTGTGCAGACACCTTGGAAGCAAAGACCTTCGAAAAGAAGAATCGTTTTTCACTTTGATCTCGTTTTCTGCATCATTGGCATGGAATACTTGCACAGAACAGTCATTGTGGTTTTAAGCCTGCTTTTGCCTTCGTGCGAGAAAGCCAGTGTTTTTAAATTTAGATGGTAATAATATGTTCCCAGTGACAAAATAATGTACCAAACCATTCTGAAATATGGCTCGCTCGGAGCTGAGAGCAATGCAGCTGTTCACTGAGAGTCCTCTCTTGTTTCTTTTAAATCTGGAGCATCTGCCTTCCCAAAACACTTCAATGTTAAGTCTCCCTAATGAAGGCATTTAGGATTGCAGGAAGGAAAGACTGTTTTCCTGCATTCTGGGAAATATGGCTAAGACTGGGTGAGGAGTAATATGAAATTTAAATATTCTATAAAAAAAACAAACAGTAAGGGAAAAGGCCAGGACAGGCTTTCACTACTGTAATTTAGGCTGGAATCTTTTCAAGCAGTTTGCTGACAGTGCTGTAAGACAAAATTGCTTTGGGAGGAAGGAATCAGAGGTTTGATGTGGTAGCTGACCAAAAGTTACAGGGAGGTTAGAAACATTCTAATGGCCAAAACATCTCCGGTTGGTTTGTTTCGGGTGTTATACCAAGTCTAGTGCTCTCCTCCAGCATTTCCAGTGAGAGATATTGATTAAACAGTGACTCCCAGCTTCTTTTACAGGACAGAAAAAGAGAAACTTTTGCAGCAAAGAGAAGTTGATTTGCAGATTTTCATCTGGTTCTTCATTTAGAAAGCTGAGCCCAAGTCTGAGCATTCCGTGGGTTCTCCCAGTTGCACACAGAGCACAATTAATGAGCCCGGCGCTGTCAGTGAGACATGATTGTGGTGGTTAAAATAGGCAATGCCTTCATCTGTTTTACATAAGATACACAGCCCTGGAGAGAGCCCAAAGGGTCCATCCTGCTTGAAAAAGTGAAGGAGTTTCAAGGGAGAGCAGGAACAGGGGAAAGGAAATAACCATTTTCTTCTGGGATTGAGCTGCTGCATTTCGTGTGCTCTGAGCAGCAGCAGCACTCAGAGGTGAGTAGAAGGAATAGAAGAAATGAATAGAAACATGGAGAAATACTTCCTTCCTGCCATGGATGCTTTATTTTGTTAAACTGATCCATCATATCTACTTGGAGTTTTAACTGAGGTGAGTGAACATTAGGGTATTTTAAAAATATGTCTGTGATTCTATATTGAGGGAACGCTGCTTTTAACATGAAGGAATTAGGACTCTTAGGATATTTTGCATGTGATACAATAATCAAGAATGTGTTATTCTGTGATCATTTGGAATATAAAAAAAAAAATCCATTGGCTCTGTTTCACCTGAGAAAGTAGATTGTTCTTTCATACTCCGTGCTCTGCAAATCACACATTTCATAACCATGAATATGTTCCTCCCAAACTAGGAATCAGTGATGGTGCTGGCAGATTAATTGCACAATTCAGTTACATGTGCTTCATTTCAGTGTTGACAGAGACACTTTTCCAATAGGGAGAGAGATTTATTCTACAGTTCTGTTGCAGAGAAGCCGGGGGGCAATAAAAAGAATTTTCCCACTGCAAGTGCTGTAATACATTTTAGTTGAGGTGTGTATGGAATAGCTGAACTTTTTTCTCCTGGCGCTGCTGAGAAAAAGAGTTTTGCTAAAAAAATCCAGCAGTGCAAGAAAGTTTATTGCTATGAAACCTTTAAATCTGGTCAGATAATCTAACACTTGTCCAGCGTGCCTGTGACTGCATTTTGCTGTATAGTTTGAAGATGCAGATATTTTTATGCTACCTAGTACTTAGATATTGATGTATATTAATTTTCAACCTACGGTTGAAAAAATCAAAAAAGAAATGTATTATTTTATAAAATATGATCTTTATAAACCAACATATTGAAGCTTTCAGGAGGTTTTTTTTTTCTATACATTCGGATCTGCATTATGATTAAAATAAAGTGCCTGGTGAAATTAAATTCACATACTTTAAAAGAAGCCATCAATTCCCTTCCTCTCTCACTCTTCCTACACATTATTCATCTGGTATGTGAAAAGCTGTTCTGTGGCTTCCACACAAAAGCAAAGTGAAAAGAAAGCCAAGGATGTTTTAGTTAAATAACGATTATTTTCAGGATCCTTTTAAAGCACAAAACAAAATGTTCTCCATATATTGTGAAAATATATAGGTGCTTTCAGATAATCACGTGTTATATACCAGAAAGCCACTATGTTAAGGGCACATTATTCAGATTTTAAAGGCAAGAACTAAACACTTAAAAAACACCAGAATTATGGTTGTCTGTGAAATCTTCCCTTGGTTCCTTGTGCATTGTGATGCAGCCTTAAAGTGCACATCACGCACACTTGTCTCCAGTAATCTGTGAAGGCAGAAGTTATTCAGACATTCTGAAGCTTTTCTGTGGTGCCCATCACTGCAGTACCTGCTCCACTAAAGCTCTGGGTAGTGTGGGGCTGGGGTGCCCACTGCACAGACCTGAGGAGTGTGCAGAGCATCAGAGAGGGATTTAAAAATGCTGATTTTGGTTGCCTCACTTGAGATGTGTTTACTGTGATTTTCCAGACCCATTAGGTAAGGCAGTACTTTATGTGCTTGGAGAATAATGTCTTACTGAATTCTCTTGTGGGTTCTTAACTACCTCAAGATTTACATCTCAACTATAGGTTTAAGATGAGCACCTTGTTCAAGTGACTTACTCTTTCCCCCCCCAAGCAGTCTGGCAGAGGAAGGAGAGAGAACCCAGTTCTCCAAGACCTCCATCTTCCTTTTTCCACACTTTCCTGCCCCATTCCCAACTTCTGCAGCAAAGCCATTATACATTTTCTCAGGGAATGCCTGAAGAACACTGCACTAAAATTATGTAGCTCACAAGAGGCATGTAAGAGTTCTAGTAAAGACTTTGGAATATAAATTAAAGCAGCCCCAGACCCTCTGGCACAAAGATCAACATCTGTTTTGTCAGATCTGCTGCAGAGAATAACAGGGTAACCAACGGAACCAGCAGGTGGGAATGAAGGGGGAACCTTTCCCAGCACCCATCAGGCATTTTCCAGTAGAGGACTAATGTCTGAAATCTTGGATTCTGTTTGGGGTTCTGGAGGACACTGTTTTGAGTTCAATTTTTTTCATTCTCTTTAAATCTCTCCAGCTGAGTTTTGTCTCTCTTGAAATTTTGGCTCCAGATCTTTCTCTCTCTCTTGTATTTCTAATCCTACACTTCACCATTCCAAGGCAGAAGTTTTCTTCCCTTCAGTCTAAGCGTGGGACAGTTTTAGGACACATGCTTTGAAGGGAAAGCCAATTAAGAAGTTGTTCTGCCTTTAGCTGTTTGTTTCCATTCCCACTTGTAGTTCATCATCCTGCACTCAGCTGCTTGTCCTCAATTTTTGCCCACTGAATGGTTTCTGAGGCAATGTTGGGAAGTGTAGCACTGAAATAACCCAGGTTAAGAGGACCCTTGGAAAAAGAAGTTGAATTATACACATTAAAGGGTTGACATCTTTTTAAAGGAAGCCTGGAAAAAGTGTGGTAATCTCCCTTTAAATGAACAATATATTTTTTTGCCATTGGATTTATGGTGTTGGTCAATAGATTGAATCTATAACATGTAACTCCTAGTAGTGCCAGTCTTTATACCTTAATAATCTATAGTGGCTATGCTGAAAGCATCAACTGTTATACATAAGAGCATGCTATGAATGCTTATTATTATTGATATTATGAGTTGATAAATTATACTTGATTAATTTATGGATCTCAAATGTGTGGAAATATCTTGTCCACCACCAACCCCTTGTTTCTGCTGGAAATTTGGCACTATTTTGCAATTACAAAGCAACCCTGAGCAAACAGAACGTGATTTACATAAATTGTGGAGGGTTGAAAAGGAGCTGATTTATAGTAAACCTCATGGGGTTTAAATAAATACCATTGTAGTGTTTACTTCAGCATGGCCTTGTCACAGTTAAAATTGCCCAGTACAACATCAGCCTTGTGTGACTGGAATGCTTTTCCTCTCTCTCCTGGTGCTGTTTGAGGTGAACAAATCTCAACTGAGAACAAGTAAAAGATTTCCAGTTTCGTGTGAGTATTTTCTTGCTCTGTGGTTTTGACCTAAACACTTGACAGGCTGTTGTGGTGAAGCAGAGAGTGGAGTACAAAGCTGTTTGGAGGGAGAAATCTGCTTACCTGGGGAAATAGAAATGTTTTTCTTAATGAATGGGCATCATCTGAAATCTGATTAAGCACATGAAGGATGGGAATCCCAAAGGCCTGTGTGGTGAACTGAATTAGGTTTGCAGTTTGGTTTGGAGCAGCCATTTTACCTCAGCATTGCACTTTGCTTTTGCTATTTCCAATCTCTAAAAGTGATGTCTAGGAGAGGTAACTTTGCAACGGTGGGATATTTTCCATCCCTTTTTCCCCTGGGAAAACTTTCTCATTGTTTCCAAGAATTGGAAGAAAAAGATTGTATTTTAGCATAAAATTTTTGAAAATTATTTGCATTTTCCATGGCACAGGAAATACTGTTAGTATTTCTTATGTTTGTGTTTATGAAAGCACTTTCATATGATGTATATTTTATTAACTTGCTTTATACTGGAGAGTCCTGTGGCAGATCCTTAGTAGATATAATCAGTAATAGATCCACTGATTTCATGAGAGCTGGAACAATTTATAACACTGATAGTGAAGCTGCCCTTGAAAAATTCTTTTTGAAAGTGCTTAGTTGTTTGTGGTAGGAAAAAGTTTTGTGGTTAAAATACTGGGCTGAGAAAAGGGTCTGTTCTTTATCCAGTTCTTGAAAACTTTGGAAAAATCATTAAAATCTGGGCCTCAGTCTGTTTTGTAAAGTTTGACTAACCTCTTTTAAAATATTTAAATTGCAATCTCTTCAGAAAAAAGTACTCTTATTTATTAATTATTATCTTGCTTGTTTTTCCAGCTTATTTCTTGGAGTTAATATATGGCTCTAAAAATACCCCAAACTTGCCCTGCAGCTTTTACAACGATATTTTTTGAATTCTAAGAGGCAAATTGCAAAAAAACCTCCAACCTTCTTACTTGGCATGACTGTGGAGCCCATCAGTGTAGATAAGGCTGAGCCACATCCAGACAGGGGCTGGTTTGCTGGGAGCAGTGATCACACAATAATCATGTTATGACAGAGATGTAAAACAAGAATGAAGATGTCAGAGCTACCTAGCAGCGAGTGTAAATTTAATCTTAAGATAAAAGCATATCAAATATACCCCGGTGGCTTATTGCCAGAGATGCTAATTGGAAAAAGCTGTATTATGCAAAGCCATTTGTTCCAAATGGCTCTTCAGGGACCAGGTTAAGGAGGAGTTTCCCCTGTGTGGTTTGGTCTTGTTTACAGAGGTTGTTAATATTTGCATAACCATCTCGGTGAAAAAATGTGTCAAGTGAATAAAAGAGACTTAAATGTAACTCTGGAAATTTCGGTTCTCAATGAAAGAAAACATTTTAAGGAAAAGCTGTAAATTGCAGACTCTGTCAGTAGTAGAATATTACAGTTCCCCTAATATAACCTGGATCACTGTGTCTTCAGGACAAGGCATAGGGATAAATAATTTTGGACTCAGTAAATGACTGCTTTATCAAACAGCAACCTTAGAACCCACAAAAAAGGGTACAATCCTGAATTTCATCTGGAGTGGTGCCCAGGGCTCGGTTCAAAAGGGTGTAAGGGGGTAACAGGCAAAACATAATTGTATTTTGGGGGGATAGGAGCCCAGCGCATCCCTGTGCTGAATTTCTAGAAAAGGAACTATGTAAAAATGAGGTTTTTAGGTAAAAAAGGAAACCCTAAAATAGACACTCCAAAAAGTAAGATGCCTACAAGATGCCTTTAAGATGATAAAAATAGAGTGTATTTGAAACCCAGGTGAAATATATGCCCATAACTCAGCATAGAGCTGTTATAAAACACAAGGAATGGCAATGGGAAAGTTAAGGAGATACTGGAGGGAAAAGGCTGGTATTCAAAAATTAAAGTTTGCCAAAATGAAGGTAGAAGCTCTGTGCATCTTTCTCATTTCCCCTTCCCTAGCACTGAAATGGTGCTGAATAGCTCCTGTGACAGGGAAGGAGCCTCCTGCCAAAGTAACTGCCAGG